CAAATGCAAAAAATGCAAAGCTAGAGTTATATCAGCACTGCAGCACTCTGACTCATCCCAGCACAACACTCACCGACATTAGGACTTTCCCTTCGATGTAATATTTGTTGCAAGCTATTAGTGGACTGAATTCGATTTATACAGGTGTTTGTGATATTGAGTTATTATGTATAATCATCTTGTCCTGTACCCCGGGCCCCATGGCAGTTCCTGTTCTGATCCATTAGAGTGCTGACAACAAAAGGCAGAGAGGTTTGTAACAGAAAACTAGCCTGGATTTTACGTTCCAAGCGCTTATTTAATTGCATCGAAGCACTGCACCTGGCACTGCAAGCTGTGGTTAGAAATTAGAATATATATCAAAGTGGTGCACGACTGTAGGTCCTCTGAGGTGAGGAACTATTGTAGTGCAGAAAACATATAGACATTTACAAGAGCTTTGAGGATGTTATACTGTTGAAATAAATAACATTTAGAATAGTGCGAGTGTTCACTCAGTCTCTCGTTGACTGGCAGGAGATTTATATTTGACTTGTCAGACAGCAACCAGAGAATTCTGCCTCAAAAGACATTTGGAAATACTATTATTTTCCAAGCGGTTATTCTTAGTGATTACAAATGGAACAATTACCTGAGCACCTGGGAGCCTTTGCTTTGATATGTTGCTTGCACACACACATGCACACAATGTAGCACCTTGCAAACACACTTATTGGAGAACATACCAAAACCTGTTTGTAACATCTTCAGAATAGCTTTGAAATGCCTTTGAGAGAACCTCAATAGCTTGAGATAAGCATGCATACAGCTTGAGAGAAGCTCTGCAAAGCGAGCGGGGTGAGGTCTAATCCAGAGCTGCTGCTGCTGCTGCTGCTGCTGCTGGGTGATGGAGGGCCGGCTCAAAGACAGGCGGACATGGAGGTTTTTTTCTAAACCAGTTTCAGTCCTCTGTGGATTTGCTGTTATTGTCTGTACTGTACGTAGGAGAACAGATGTTGTTGTACGGGATCAAGAGCTCCTTCTGTACTTGGGACATACTCGTAAAAAACTGAAAGTCTGTGCAGAGCAATCCACAAAAGGCTGAATTTCACCTTTTGTCAAATAATGCTTGGGATTATCTGTTCTGGATTTAACAAAGGATGACTGACATGTTTGACCATACAAAGAGCTAATGTGGCTACGAGGTAAAGGTGTATCGATTAACGTTATACTGGATGTACTCTTTAAACAGTTGAATGAAAATACAAACTTGTTCTTTGGCTCCAATAGACAAATGTCTTCTAAAAGGTTATGTAAAACTGGCCTGTTGTCTGCACACTGTTAGAGTTTCTCCGTCTGATGAATCCATTTTAAGTGTGTTTATCAGTGATGCTTGAACTCCTCCGACCTCTGACAACTCACAGTGTTCTACACAACTGTGAGTTGTCCTTCATTATTTCCAGCTTTAAAAAACGAACATACTTCATCGGCAACAAAAAGTCTTGACGCACAAAGAACTCGTACAATTGGAGGAGTTGTTGCTATGGCTCCCAGCACAAGTTAGTGAGGGAGGGAGAGGGAGTGAATGAGTGAAAGGGAGATAGGGGAACAACTGTGCACAGAGTATTGTGTAGAGTTTATGAATAAATGCATGTATAATCACACAGCGGTGAACATTCAAAGGAGACAACATTCATTATCACACACAAAAAAATTGTCTCATTACGGAAAATCTTAGCAACAGAGCAACAGAAGAAAACAAAGAAGGCAGATTCACATACAGAGTTCACGGCTCGGTGTTGTACTGTTATGAATGAGTGGGAGATTAAAGAAGAGAAAGGAAGGCAAACAGTGCCTTGCCATTACTGTCAACTATAGGTGTGTGTGCGTGTGCGTGTGTGTGTGTGTGTGTGTGTGTGTGTGTGTGTGTGTGTGTGTGTGTGTGTGTGTGTGTGTGTGTGTGTGCTTCCTCCTTCCGATCTCCCTCCTCTGAGTTCCCCTCAGACGCTTGACGGACAGTTTCCTCAGAGCTGGGTGGTTTGGGGAAATAGGGAGATGATTGCATGAATTCATGAATAAATGAGAGTGTGACTTGTATGGGGAGAGTGAGACCTGTTAGGCCTCAAGTGGCGATGTTTTATTAAACAGCCTTCATCTGTGTGTCTCTAAGTGAATAAGTTAGCTGCGGGGTCAGAGCCCGGAAATGAGAAAAGCCAAAGAAGACAAATACCATAGCTAATGTGTACAAAAAACTGTAAACGAGAAATAAAACAAAGAAATATTGATTTTAGATTAAATTATAGGTGACAGCATGTTAACAAATGCTGACCCCAGAGTCACACAACTTCCCGTCCGGCAGTCACTTTGTGGGAAACATTTGTCAGCTCTAGGTTAGGTCCTATATCTTGGGTAAATTGTCACTGCTTATAGTGGAGGTTTCTTTCCCACCATGGCCTCCCACAGTGAAAATGCTGCAGACACATTTCTGCAGGACACTAACAATTTGATAGCATAGCAGCAGTAGTCGGAAAAAAGTCAAACTGGTGAGGGCATCCTGTTCCCCCACAGGAATCTCGTAATGACTGTGATGGAGCTTTGTCCTCAGGCATTTTATAAAGAAGGTTACGAGCTTTGGCTTAAATTAAAATGGCTTTGGCAAATACTGCAGTAATGGGGGCATTTGGACATGGAGCAGTGATTGATGCCTTGAAGGAACAGAAGGAAAGGTGAATACATTCCAGTAAAATATGGCAGCAGTATTACTTCACTATGTCGGTTAGTTATTGGCAGCATCAGCTTGGTGTCATTCCAACACTGCTGTGCGATGCATGGAATATCAATCAGCACTTTGAAATTAGCTAAAATGTTCATTCGTCCCCAGTTTTGAAAAATAAATTGCACACATAACTCAAGATGTTTGCACCAATGCTCCACTTTTGAATTATTTCCTCAGCAGTTGCCTCTCAGTTTAGTCTTTGGGAGCAGGCGGGCGCTGCAGCGGGCTGTGCCACGGTCCACTGCCTCAAGGTGAGCCCATGAGTAAGGATAGCATCTCCTATTGACACCCAAGCCTCGGCATCGACCACACTTTGACTGACAGGCCCGGAAGCCTTGACTTCGTCCTATCTACCTCACACTGAGACCCAGGGAAGCCAATAAAGATTGTCTATATTTAAACTTCAGAACCGTCAGGGAGATAGGGTAAATTGTTGAGGGAAGGTTTTTCCGGTCACCAAAAAAAGAAATGAAGCCCCGTCTCAATTCCCCCGTCCTAAACAGATTCTTAAATCACAGAGAATAGGGAAGGGCTTTGACGAAGCTGACAACACAGAGGCAGTAATGAGGAGGCTGATTTGTTATGACTCTAGCACAACCACTCTCTTTAAACCCAGCCGTTGAGGATTGTGTCTATTGATGTCATTTCAGCATGCACCACTGCTCCTGATGAACCACACCAACTGCCATTGCTTTCAAATCATTTAGCCACCAATTAGTAGTAAAGGTCAAGCTCTGAGAGGAATGTAATTTGGCAATAGATATAATGCCTTTGTGCTACATATACATGTAGAAGAGCAAATGATCTGGTAGATGAATCTGTCTTTTTGCAAAGCCTTCTCCACTTTTGGCTCGTGAACATTACAGGGTTCATATTATGATCATGCCAGGTCCATATTTGTATTTTACGGTTTTAATAGAACATGTTCACGTTGTTTAATATTCAAAGAACCAAACACTTTCTCATAATGTTCCCCTTAAGTCTGGTAAAAACACTCAAATACACTCCTAATTGAATTACTGAATATTTATGCAAGAGTTTCGAATGGCAAATCAGAGCTCCAGCAGGGTCTTCCAGCAGGCAAATGATGTGAGACTTCAGAATAGAGTTGTACTGTCATGAAAGCAATTGAGATGTGGAGTTCAACGCTAAGTATCAGAGTAAACGGACAACAGGGGAGAGTATGCATGACGCTGATTCAGTCAGCCAGCAGCAGGGAACAGGAAGAGCCAGGGAAAGAGAGAGGTTGTGTGCATAATGACTATTTATACAAGTCAGAGCTCAACATTTGATGCAGTATGACTTGCAGGGCAATTTATAAATGTGTTAAACTCCTTACAAACACTCTCCAAGCAATGTTTTAATCTTTCAGTGTCTTAAGAGCTTTTAAGATATTCTTTAAGGTGCCAGAATGTGCCTAAAGGCAACGTCTGATGACTATCATCACTGACACTTATAGCTTAGTGTCAACACTGAATTCTATGTGAATTTTAATGATGCACATTGTTGGTTCTTCATCTGGTGTAAAAAACACTACTTCCTTATTTTCTCCCCTTCCTATCTTCATCTTTCCTCCACAATCAGTCCTTCAGCCCATCTTCCTTATCCTGCCTATTAATCACTGTTATTCTATACATTTTTAATTTTGTCTGTATTTTGGGTGTTAAAAGGGAGATTAAAAAAAAACTCCTCACTGGCCCCCTGGTTGTCATTGTTGCTATCTGCCAGGTCTCCTCAGTGAGCAAGTGACCTGCGGGTGAGATGCGTCTTGGGATGGATGTTTGAGCGTGTGTGTGTGTGTGTGTGTGTGTGTGTGTGTGTGTGTGTGTGTGTGTGTGTGTGTAAGTATGTATGATTCATAACTACCGCAGTTTTACATTTAAACGTTTTCAAAGTCTTAGATTTACCATATCTAGATCACTTATAAAAGGTCAGAAGGGTACTAAGTCATGCAGTTGTCTAGTAGATTCACCAGATAAGAAGGATACATATAATTAGATAAATCAATTAACAAAAACAGGCAAAACAGATAAGAAAGGTATCGATATCATTTCATCTAGTGATGCAGATTTGGTGCAATAGTGTGTGCATATGCAGCCGGACCTCATATCAAATGATGTCCACTAATTCACATAAAAGTGTGCATTACACACACATGTGTACACCATTATAACCTCTCCCGAGGCAATGCAGCAGCAGAGTCTTGCTGAAAAATAGCTAACCCATCATAAACATGCGAGGCAGGTTATGTGAGGTGTAAGTTTGCCGCAGTACCTGTGACCAGCTCTCTGATTTCCACATCTCCGGTCTTTCTCAGTAGGCGGACCAAGGCAGGGATCCCCCCGCAGTTTTTCAGGGCCACTTTGTTCTCGTCGTTGGCCTTGCCGTACACCAGGTTCCTCAAGGCTCCGCAGGCGCTGCGGTGCACCTCGCTCATCCTGTGGTCCAGCAGGTCCACCAGCAGCTGGATGCCTCCTTGTCTACGGATCTGAGGATGTAAACAAATTAAATTATATACAACAACAAAAAGATCATCAAACACATATCCAGCCACCAGGAAAATGGCCAACAGTTGTCTATGCAGGTAACTACCTGTGTGTGTACAGTGAAGTGTGTGTGTGTGGCTTACAGTACCCTTCAATCAGATTAACAACCCGTTGTGCACTAATTAGAGATCCTATAACACAGCTAATTAATGTGTTTCACAAAATGACACTTAATTATACTGATGAGGGTGGGGGGGTGCAACACAAGCTTTGCTGATAATCGGAAAAAATATGACGCAATATATTTTTGTCTGTAGCTCTACGCGTCTCTGACCCTGCTCCTCAGTATTTCCCATTTGAACTCGTCTTTTTCTTCCTCCATTTGAATTCATGTAATGTCTGTTTCTGTTTATCTGTTTGTTTTCATCCTGTCTGCATTTTTCTGTTTCAGTTGTCTGTTTCATTTCTCCTTCAATGACCATGCACAAACACATCACTACTGACATGTTTGGCTTCTGCTAACTGAAAAGGAAAATAGCTCGGATGCAAAACTGCTTCTTCAAATAGACAACAGAGGTTCAAGTGATTTATAAGATGTGCGATTTTAAAAATGCACCATGCATAATGGGGAAGTTTTGTATATGATTTATGTATGTGTATATTAAAGAGGCATTTGTGGTCCATAATCTTTACCCTAGAAACATTTGAAAATGTTAAAAAGAAGAGAGCATGCTGGTGACTTGTTATGTATAGTAAAATATAAAGAATACATACACACTAGTTCTGAATCTTATAATTCAATACATTTTGTACATGTTATAATATTTATAGTTTAGAGATATTACACTTTAATACCAATAAAATGTGAATATATCTATATAAATACATTGATAATAAAAACATATGATAACAGCTACGACCCAATATCTTCCACACACTAATAGTATCAGTCCATCATCGACTCCTCTAATATAACAGACAACCTTTTAGAAAGTGAATCAGTTTATATTGCTCATTAGGTCGAGTTGCAGACCATACGATTTGACCATGTAATTAAAAAAAAATATATATTTTCCCGAATTGGGATCAATAAAGTACCATCTTATCTTATCTTAAACATATAATTACGATACACTGAGGAAATGTAAGGCCTTATAAAAGTGTTCCATTAGTGAAGTAGTAAACTGCTGCTTCCATCTGGATCTCGAATGCCAATGAATAAAGTGGAAACTAAATGGCAATTCAGTGTGATTATCAGGCTATAAACGTAATGTTGCAGGTGCAATCTACAAAATGCAAGCCTTACTGTAATTATCAATGTTTTGTTTTTTTTACCAAATAAGTATAAAAACAGATGCTGAAACCAAAGAGGAGAACGCTTAATGGATTGTGTGACTCCCCCAAAAGTCAAGAAAGCTGTCAAGAAATGTCCCGGCACTCATAATGACACCCTCACCAGACTGCAGGGATATTATGTTCATGTATTTTATAAAAGCCTGTCTGTAGCAAACACTTTTCTGTTCAAGCGAGTGGGTATTTCCCCATTCTCTACTACTACTGTCTCTTCTGGTTGCATTATAGACTTTACGTGTTGCTTTATTTGACATTTACAAACACAAAAAGAGACACTAGAGTAGAGAGAAACAAACAAGCAAATCAGTGCAGATTAATGAGTTTATCCTGATTCTGTGAGCACAGTGGGGATCACAATGAGGGCACTCTGGTGTTACCCATTATGCCTCACCCCTATGGTGTTACATGTACTGCCTTCTCTCTGTGCTGTGGTTTTTAACCCCCCCCCACATCCCTTTCTACAGTGGGGATCTTCATTCGCCTTAGGGGGCCAGAGAGCTTACAGCCAGCCGTGTTTTGTCCAATCAACAGGGGTGTAGTACTAATCACCAGAAACAGGCTGTGATCACCAGGAGACTAAATCCAGCACGGATCGAGCAACTAGTGTGTGAGTGTGCGTGTTTGAATGTGTGTGTGTGTGTGTGTGTGTGTGTGTGTGTGTGTGTGTGTGTGTGTGTGTGTGTGTGTGTGTGTGTGTGTGAGTGTGAGTTTTTGAGAAATAGAGATTGAGAGAGAGCAGAGAGAGAGCATGTTTCTCACATTTCCACTTTTATTGAATCTCTGGAGTACTGCGACAGAGTTACTCATCCAGATAACTTGGAAAAAAGTTTTTCACAGTTAACTGCGTAATCGTGCTTCTTGAAACCCTCTTATTTTTCTGCATGTTCTCCCCCAGACCTGGTACATTAAACAGTGGAAAATAATTCCTGGTGTCTGTTTAATCGTGAAGCACCAGATGGGTGGAGTGTACCATGCAGACATGTTGACAGGAACAGTAAAGTGCAATGAATCCTCTTCCAAGCCTTCTCCCGTGATTATCACTGGCACTCATTGTTGTGTCTCCTGTGGAAACCTAACACATCTGGCATGGGTAAGCCACAGAGAAATGAAAAAAAAAGAGCGCACAATGAGTATTTTCAACTTTGATTTATTCATAGCGAAAACAAATGCTTAATGCGAGGCAGGTGTGGAGACAAAATGAGTGTGAAAGAAAAGAGAGAAAAAGAGTAAGGAAGTGATGGAGGGCATGGAGAGGGTGGAGGTGTTTGATGACACAGCAGGAGTTTATCGAGCAAAATGACTTTGCTTATCTTTTCAATTAAAATGGATTAAGGGAGGCAATGAATGGCAAACTAACCTTGCTCCATTGGCCTCACAATTTTCTCAGCCTGATTCGCTGTACCTCTCATGCCCTCCATTCGTCACCTCTGCTCCCCTTCCCTTCTTCCTGTACCGATCTCTCCTTCTCCCCTCTCTCCTCTTTAAGCTTGTGTCACAGTTAATCTGTTATTCCATAAAAGCCATAGTGCTATTACTTTGTATTGCCTCTGAGCTTCCTACAAGGCTTGCCAACACCACTGAGTCTGTTCCTGTCTTCCATGCAAAGAAGATTAGGAGCGCAGATTGATTTGTCTTTGTCTCCCACTGTTCCGCGGCGGCCACGGGTGTTGGTAACCCATAGCGACAGCATTGCCGTGGTAACAGTTAGCAGTGGTGAAAGCGGGGATTGCGGGAATCAGATGTGCTGCCGGCATCAAATCTGGCAGTGGAACAAAAAGCGGTGACACATACCTGGGTTGGTGGCATATGAAGCCTGAAAAATGACTCACCACATATGGAATGTCAGCATTAATCAGCAGCACATATTGAGAGTGAGAAGCGGGTGTGAGGACATGTGACATCTGCCATGCACACTCATGCATGGGCCTCAACGCCTCTTGGCATGACAGTCACCTTACCTACTTTTGGGAAAGCCCTGTTTTCTATATTTAATTTACCTTTGATAATGGCTATCAATAATACAATGTTTCGCTTAATTGAATTTATGTTTAGTTTAGACGGAGAAAGGTTAAGCAAACGAGCCTGCTTCAGATTCAAACTTGACTCAAACTTAGCCGCAATACCAGGTGAGCTACAAGACAACCCCAAGAGCTTTTGTTTTTACCTGACACTTAGCCTCAAGCTAACTGCATTTAAGAGCTTTCCACCTTGGGCTAATTGGGTTCTTGGCTCTTTGCTAACATTTCCCTTTGGAGACTTCTAAACTGGGCCAAACTTGGCATTAACCTATAGTTTAATAACACTGTTCTGAGGCAGCTCATTTTTCAGCAGTATCAACACCGGAGAAAACCTACCTCAATAAATACACTAGAGGCTCTGATGTTTAAAGAGTACGACCACAGAGGCAGCAAAAACACAACTCTCTCCTCAGCAGGGGGTAGGGATATGTGCTTATTAATCCCAGTCTGTGTGTATGCTTTGATGAGTGGGTGGTCCCCAGTAGTTTCATACTAACATATGACCAATTAGTCAGATGAAGACCCATTTCAAAGAGTGTTTTTCTCACCAGGTTATGGATAGTGAAGGGAAATGTTGCTGAGGAAGATGGTGGATGAGTAACTTATAAGGATACACTACCTCTAAATGCTCCACCCAAGGTGAAAACAGACTTATTCGCTTAAGGTCACCTGGAGGCTAGTTAAGCTGTTATAAAAGAGATTAGGACGTTTTGCTTGACAAAGAAAATTATACCATTGATGAAAGGCAGTTTTTCTCACTGAAATAAGTCTCTGCAAATTGTGAAAAGGCAATAAAGGATACTTTTTTTTATCAAAGCAGTCACTGACAAACTACTCAGCATGTTCTTTTATAGGTGGTGAGAATTGACACAAGGTTTCTAAGCAATTCCTTTTCCTATCTTTAAACACTCAGAATGGTAAGCAGTTATCAGAGGGGAAAATATGGTCTGCAATGTGTAAAAAGTGGGAGAAGCATGCAACATTATTACAGTATTTGCTACGGATCATTTGCTGTGTCTTTTTTCATCCTTCATGCTGATGCCTGTTATACAGATATTCAAAGCTTGCAGATTGCACAGTTCACGCTCTACAAATCAAAAACAACATTCTGTAAACATATTGACTTTACATTATTGGCTTTCTTATCGTAATATAAAATGCAATTCTTACTGAGAATACAATTTAACTTAACGTTCCTGTATTGATACTACACTGTATAATCAAGCAGGTCCGCTGTAAAAAAAAAGAGGACATTTTTCACATCCTAAAAAGATGGAAGGAGAAATTAAAACCATTGATAACAAAATAAAGTGGGATAGGAAGAGAGTGATATATGATGTGTGAAGTAAACAAAGTAGATGTGTGTAAGAAAGAGAGTGGAGGGTGGGGGTCAGACACAGGGGGCACGTTCCTCTCCCTTCAACCGGTCTGTTGGATAAATGGATATCGACAAGGCTGCTACACAAAATGAATTACTGATGTGACTGAACTTTAGTCTGACAGTGTGTGTGTGTGTGTGTGTGTGTGTGTGTGTGTGTGTGTGTGTGTGTGTGTGTGTGTGTTTGTGTTTTGGTGTGGCTAAAGGGGATGCATGAGCTGACATGTCAATGGGCTTGTGTGTGTGCTTAGTACACACAAGGTTACTGTTTGTGTGTGCAGTACGGTGTGTGTGTCTGGGGCAGTAATAAATGATGGTGAAGATGAGTTTGCCAAGCTGCCTCTGTGGTCAACTGTAATCTGAGCTGGGGCCATACCTCCATCTGTCCACACACACACACACACACACACACACACACACACACACACACACACACACACACACACACACACCCCTTCAGAAAATCATCGTCAACATTCTTGTTACCCGATCCAGGATAACAGGAAGTCATATTTTCCCATCTACCATTTGTCTCTCTTTTACTGAGCCTGTCTATAACCTCTCTGCTCGCCTCTTCTTGCCCCTGCAGAGCATCTATTTCGCTACAAATAGCCGCCATGTTGTGGCTGTATTTAGCTGCTCAGTGTGTCCCCTGCCATCTGTGTATGTCTGGCTGACTGAAAACAAGAAAAAAGTCTTTAGATCAGGGCTGATAACAAATAGTTAAACTTTTGTTAAACAGTTATTTAATTATCACTAAAATCCATCAAGTCACGCTACCCCTTAGAAATGACAGTCAAAAGCAGATCACTAATAAAAATACATGTACCTCATCTATGCCTTTTAGAATCATGAAAACATGATGTCTTTGTTTGTTGGCAGCAAATAGAGTCAAAGTTAAACTTGTTTTATTAAGTTCAAGTTACTTCATTATCTGTGAAGTGCTTACGCATTGTGATACATAATATAGGAATATATTGTTTTTTCTGCTTATGTTTTAAAGTCTGTGTAACAGTGGAAAGAAGGTCGTGCACAAAAAAAACTCTTCAACTCTGAAACTTGTTCTGAAACAAGAGCTCTGTCACAACCTTGAAAATCCGCCAAAACACTCAAGATGTTCACAAAGAAAGACGTTTCTTTCTCACTAGAACTTTCTTTTACATTTCCTTTGATGGAAATGCAATGAATACTGACTGACATAAAGAAGATGTGAGGAAAACACATTGACTAGAGTCAAGATGTCTGAAGATGAGCTCCATCAATAATGTGATGACTCTACAATATAATGCACACATTTCTGTTGCGGCTTCTCGAGGTGATCGATCACAATGCGTTAAGAGGTACTGATGAGAACACTTCAGAAATGAAGGGCAGGAAGCAGGAGGATTGCTTACATTCTCAAATGTGACAAGACAAATATAAATGCTAAACTCTGGTGCACATGCTACATGTTGTCATGGTAAACATGAGGCAGGCATGTGGATGTATATGTGTAAATGCCTGCTTTTGTTTGATGTGATGCAAAGCGGTAATTTTGGCTGCTTGATATCTCTTCAAGATTTAATTTGTGTAAATAGTGTTTAGCAGCGCCTTGGGCCTTGAACGAGACAATCAAACAGACTGATGAAGGCAGGCCAACGTTTCCCCTGTCAATACACAATTGCTATTTTCTCCATTGTTGGACACCTCCATTCAGGCAATAATTACACCCATTATAGAAGACACAAACACTTAGGTTTCTTTCAGAGCTACAGAGATGAGGGGGTGGAGAGGAGAGTAATGTTTTCTTTTTTGTATTCAAGTGTGATTGAATTTTTGTATCTGCATATTTGTGAGTCTTTGTTTGTAAAAGAGGTTAAGTGGGTCGTTGTGAATGAGCATTAGCTGCTTCTTCGTATTTAATTGCCTTCATGGGAAATTATTTTATTTATTTTTTGTATTCCTGTTTGCATATAGAGCTTTTAGGATTGTGTTTTAATTGTGTTTTTTAGATGCAGTATCATCTATTGACCAACTCTACTGAATTTGTTTTGGGATGAAGAAACATATTCTGGATGCTGTGTCTGTGTGTCTGTGTCTGTGTCTGTCTGTGTGTCTGTGTCTGTGTCTGTGTCTGTGTGTGTGTGTGTGTGTGTGTGTGTGTGTGTGTGTGTGTGTGTGTGTGTGTGTGTGTGTGTGTGTGTGTGTGTGTGTCATTGTCATTTCCATTGTTTTAGAGCACTGCTAGGGTTTATAAGAGCTTTCCGACGAGGCTTCCCTCTTAAATTACTTTTGAGAGACACACTAGTGACTTTGGGACTAATTGAACTTCACTGCCACTATAGATACTACTCAATAGATGGCACAGCTTACAGATGGAGTTGCAGCATGCTTCATCATACAGAATCCTACAAATTCTAAGTTAAAGAACAATTTATTGGAAGCAAATGTTACGGTAAATGCAAAACAGCCCATGGAGTTTTAACTCAAAATAAGTTATTCACTTATACACACCTTTTAGGGCTCTGATCGTCCATGTTACGATTATTCCCATCTCTACTACACTGTTAGTGATCAAGTACTCACACAACACTGAAAACACACACAGACACAAACCTCTGCTTTGATCTTGTTGTCTCCGAAGCAGAGATGCTGTAGGTAGGCAGCAGCGTTGGACTGCACTGATGGGAACTGATGCTGCAACATCTGGATCACCTCTGGCAGCTCCGGATCTCTCCACCCAAACTCTCTGCACAGAACCAGACAGAGAGACACTTTGATTCCTGCAGCACTTTAACAAAGCATCTCAACAACACAAAGGAGATTTCCTCAAAGTAGTCCAATCAAATCACAGACTCTTTTTCCAACATTCACACGCATTCACGTTCACTTACATGCTTACACAACATACACAGAGGAAGACCTGCATGTGGATAAAAAGGCAGAGTTTGATTGACAGATTTTTTTTTTATGAAAACAACGACTTTGTTTTGTTTTCACCCAAAGCGCTCTCTTATAATTGGAGAGGGCTTTATAAGTTAAGCAACACAGCGGGGAAGAAGTGATGCAAATTGCATATTGAATGCCCAATTTGCCAAAACATTGTCATTTCCACCTGTCACCGTTGCAGGAAATGAGAGAAAGTAGTGATGACGCCAGCATGTTAAATCGAAAGCATCGATGAACAACTCAACCGGTAAATGGAGAAAAATATGGGCTCAAATAGGGTTTGCAAATCACTTAAAAGGAGTTAGATTTTCCTTTTAAAAACAACATGGTGATTTTAACAGGTCTTAACTCTTTATGGAAATATAATTCAACTTATAGTGAGTCCAATAAAAGCTGTACAAATGTGTTAAAGTATTAGATATGTAGCATACAAAGGCTTCAAGGAGATCCAAAGTGAAAAAGGCACATTATTGTCTGCAGGTTTTTACTGGCTTGTAAAACTGCAGTGAAAAAACAACAATAGCTAGAGATGAATATTTTGAACATCCATCCGAATCATTGGGATGAAGTGAAACAAAATGCAACCAAGGTAATACTAAGAGAAGTCCGTAAATACTTTTGAGAAAACTTAAAATAGGGGTAAAAAGTTTAAATGATTGCACAGCACTGCCTTACTGCCGTCTGAGTTATGTTATATACATTCTGCTATTAGGAGTTTACCCTCCTTAGAGCACACTGTCCATTGGTAACACTCAGGTAATGGTCTTCTTTATTGTATTATCCCATGCTGAGAATTGCTTAGCTTCGGTCCCCCAAGTAATACAATTATTATCGTGCAAGAAAGTGTTGGCGACTGTGCGTGTACACACGTTCTGAGTTTCTGCAAACTTTAACGTAATATTTGTTCCAATAACCGCTCTGTAAACTGTCTCTCTGTAACTTCCTCTCTCTCCCGTTGTCTAAATGCAATCTGAAGAAAGCCTATGTTGAAATTGTAGCCTCTCCCATCCATTGTGCTGTTGGAGGATTGATTTTGTCGTTTCTAGATCCATGCTCACCGTTCTGTGCCAAAATGCGTCTCGCTGTAATCCCCATCAAGCTATCGTGAAAAACAAAATTGATAGCTCAAACTCCCCAAACATGAAAATGTGGTAAATACGGGACAATTGACCTGCTTGGAGGGTTCAAACTGATGGGACGGAGGATTGCGTGTGTGCCAGTGTTTTTGTTGAAGCTGCAATACCACACGCTCATCTCTGTCGGATGAAGCGAATGCGGCCTGGGAAACATCTGAGAGGAGCGGCGCGTTCACGGGGAGCAAACATGGCTCTCAAAGATAAAGCAAGCTTCAGTGTGGACCGCTCTTTATCTGCCAAATGATAAGTGTTCATTCAGCCAGAAAGCAGAACTGAAGGAGGGAGGTAGAGGAGAGATAGAGAGAGGGAGGGAGGAAGAGGGAGGGATTCCCAAGGCATTTAGGGGATTTAGGAGAAGAGCCCCTCAAACAACACCCCTTAAATCACACAGCCAGATACCATCAGGCCAGTTTGTTTGTTTATGTGCATGTGTGCGTGTGTGTGTGTGTGTGTGTGTGTGTGTGTGTGTGTGTGTGTGTGTGTGTGTGTGTGTCTGTGTCTGTGTGACTGAGTGTGTGGCTAGATTAAGATAAGATCATGATGTGTGTTTATGTGGACACAATTGCCTCTGTAGCTGTTTGTCTTGTGTGAGTGTGTCGCCATCAGTGTGTGTTTGTGTGTGTGTGTGTGTGTGTGTGTGTGTGTGTGTGTGTGTCTGCACGGATGTTTTCATATTCATCTGTGTCTGTACTTCAGCGTATGTATGTATTTGACGATGTGTTGAAGTGCATGATTGTGCATGTGTCTATGTGTGCGTTTGAGCCTGGGTGTGTCATCCACTCCCTGCAGCCTCCCAGCTCTGTCAGTGTGGTTAATAGAAAGCAGAGTGATCTGCTGATAAGATAAGCATCATGGCTCGCCATTAATTAAAAACCCCTGGTAGCGAGAGAGACAGAGTGAGAGGAACAGAGCAGGAGGGAGACACAGAGGGAGAATAAAAACGAGGAAGCAGAGTTTAGGGAACAGCAGAGCATTCAAAGGCAATTGTTGGTACAACTGGCAAGAGGAAACCGGTGGGAGAGCGGAAAATAAGAAAAGAGATGGAGAAAGATGAAAACAACCCTCAGATGAGATGCCAGTCATGTCAACACAGGTGCTAGAGAGAGCTACAGCGATGGTAGACACAATGCTAGGCGACAAGCCAACGACGGAAAACAGCGGGACGCAAACAGAGAGAGACACACGAGGGAGAACTTATCAAAGAAGAACTGCCAACAAAAAACAGCAGAGCTCACAATAAATATCCACACGACTTTTGAAGAATCTGCAACAAAAAGTGCTGGAGCTTGCGTGCCATATTCTTACTTTGTTATTTTATGCTTTGTGTGCTAATAAATGTCAAGGAGAACAATTTGTTTCCAATCCGGAGCTACATGTTCCTAATACGACACATTGGTGGGTGACGGGAATAAATGAAGTGCAGCACAGAGCTCCGTGTTCCAGGCTAGATGGGATGCTTTGCCATTTCTTGAGGCGTGCGGAGGCGTGATGCAGCAAAAGACTTTGAATGGAGAAAAAAACGAGGTATTGCAGGAAAGCAGAGTGACAGACAGAGAATAAAGACAGGTGGCAAAGGGGTTTGTGGGGGAGGAAGGGAGGATGCAGAGACAGAGTGATATAACTGGGAAAGAAAGGACTGTTGTGTGATCGTGGGGCTTTGATGAAGGTACACACAAACGCACATGCACGGGGGGGGAGGCAAACTGCGATAGAAGAGTACAACACATGCAAGAATTATCAAAGGATTTCTTTCTTTTCATATCTCACTCTTTTCATGTCCAGGTCTCATGAGACAGCTGAACCTCAATGTGAAATCCCAACATGACCACTGGTACATGGGTAAATGTATGTACGCACACACAGTGAGAAAGCTAATGTAACAAGAAAGAAAACGCTGATTACACACAACACAGTGATGCTCTGTGTTTATCCACGTTGATTTCGACACAGATTAGCCGATTGTTGCTGTGAATAACTCCCGCCTGGTGGAGCAAAGCTGAAGGCCGAGGGACAGACATGAGTGACAGCGATACATCTCCCCTCTGCTGCATCATTCATTGTCATGTTCCCTGTATCCCTGAACTCAAACGGATGAAATGGCAGAGGCAAAGCGTGGAAGGGTGAATTATGTAATGGAGAATGTGATAAATAACTATAAAGCTGGAAAGAAAATAAATAAAAAAGATGAGTGCCATTGGGTTATGAAGTTTAGTGTCCCGTATTCATGAAGAGTCAAACTGCACATAAAGGCAACTGAGTGGAATTGCCTTGGATAAAGTCGATGAATTATACATTTATACCTGTCATCGGACATACAATATATTACAGCAACACCAAAAACACAGACACCATGGAAAAGATCAAATGGGCCGCTGGGTGCCATTCATCCCTCAAGAGACTTTGAGTCACCAAATGTCAAACACATTTGCGTTACCAGTCGCTGAAAAGCGAGGCGCTGAACTGCTCATCTGCCATTGTTGGATTTTGGTTTCAGGTGATGTCACTCTCATGCAATACATGACTGCAAAAAAAGCCAATAACCCAGGGTCAGACAAGTATGTGCATTTCATTTTTATTTTCCCTGCAATATTGAAAAGCATGGACCACGATACCATTAGCTACATGTGTTGCAAGATAAACCAGGACTGACAACATAAGTAGAATTCAAAAAGCCTTATTCAGGAACAACGGTGCAACACTGCAGTGTGCTATAAATATTTACCTTCACAACCCTGCACAACATTTTTGAAATCACAAGAGCCCATGATTTGGAGAGGGGTCTGCCTGCAGGCCTCCACTCTCAGGACAGGAAGTGACGATTCTGACGAACACGTTTTTTTCCCCGCCCCCCAAAGGACTCGTCTGATGGAAGTTTTCAAATCGCAATGGAAGCCGCTCACCATGCACTTTGCGTCGGCCTTGGTCAAGCCCTTTTGACCCCCCCCAGCCTGGTCCCGGGTATCCCCCCACGGCCTGTGTGCAGCCGTTTCCCCCCCGCACTCATCCATATATTAACGAATTTTGAAATGTTTCGTTGCATTTTTCTCCTCTCCTCTCACTGATCGAATGGCAAACGCGACCCACCATTGGAGGGCCTCTGCCGGCCCGGCCTAGTGCTGGTGCTCTGGTGTTCGGTTCCTCCGAACTGCGGGTTCGACTCTGATGGCCGGGAGGGTGTGCTGCGTTGGGGTGGGGGACTTCCCCCACTCTGCGTGTCTCGTCCTTCCCAGGCCGGCCGATATGAAGCGTGACCAAGACGCACCGTCTGACTCAGGGGTCCCACCACGGGTCCCGCAGAGGTGGGGAGGTTCCGGGCTGGAACCTCCCCACCTCTGCTGCGGTGCACCCGACAAACACGGTTGTTTCTCAAACCCTCCACTGTTGTCTAGTTGTTTTATTTTGTATTAGCGTGCATTTCCTGTTTGGAAAGTGGCGCTGTACTGAGAGTAAACAATACAAGGTGTCCCTATTTATATATATATATATATATATATACATATGTATATAAGTGTCATTCATATACAGCCTATGGTGTCAGTACGATTTTATTTTGTATTTGCGTGCATTTCCTGTTTGGAAAGTGGCGCTGTACTGATATTGGCGATTTTATTATGTAATTCTTAGCGTGCACTTCTTGTCCTCAGAGTGGAGATGTCCTCAGAGTGGAAGTGTCCTCAGAGTGGAGGTGGAGCTGAGACTGGCGCCTGCTGCAGGCAGGCTCCCACGATGATTTGGGTCTCCTAACCCAAATCACATCCATCAGCAGGGACCACAATGCATCTGGAGTGACAGCTCCATACAGGAAGCCTGTCCCGCTGGCCCTAATCTGATTGGACAAGGCACGTCATGTCTCTTAACTGATAGGAGGGTCAGGAATGCACAAACTGGCAGTGTGCATACCAGAGCAGATGCTAATTAGGACCTGAGCATCAATCTTCATCACTGCGTTGGGATGGAGGGGTGCAGAGAGAGAGAGAGAGAGAGAGAGAGAGAGAGAGAGTAAGGGGCAATATGAGAGAATAGATAGAAAAATGAAGGAAGCAGAAAGAGAGAAAATGCAATTTCGGTAATTGATTACGTTGGTGATCAAATTGTCTCGTGTTTCTCCCTTGGGGCTGAATAAGACTCTGACTTTGACAGAGGAGCGAATGGCGCAATTTTCAAATATTGCTTATTAAATCATGCTAGCAGTCAGTACTCACCTTTTTCCTCATCCTCTCTTTCTCTTTATCTCTCTCTATGTGTATCCTCTCTTTCCTTCTAAGACATACTTAAAACTGTTTATTTTTATATTTTCTTCCTACGGATGTCAATAATCATGTTTAACACATACTTGAGTCTATAGTTTGTACAAGTGTGGTTGTGATCCGAGCATTTTACACTGCAGTTTTGTGCTATTGCTGTCACGTCTATGCATGTGTGTGTGTGTGTGTTTGTGTATGCTCTTGTATACCTCTTTAGGTTGAGTTCATTAGGGAAGTCAATACAAAGAACAGACTTTGGCTATTCCATATAACAGCGGTCAGAATAAGTTGTAGGTGAAGATTCACATTGACTCAAAGTGCAGAGCCTGGACTCTTTAATTAAAAGCACGACTTAATTAAGATGCTATCCAGGAAAAAAGCCAAGTCTGTTGATGTGCCCGTCGGATAAAAGCTTGAATTGTAACTTTAAATGTCTCATTGGCCAGGGCGGTTGTATTCATCAGGTGCAGAAGGAGGTGCTACTGGACACGAGCAAGCAGTGAGAATGTATGTGAGGTTAGGTTTTATTACAACAACCTACTGCCACACAATCTCAAGTTCATTTATTTCATTACATTCAAAAAAGGGTCACACTTGCCATTTATATTTGTTTCCCGTCTTGTGACAATATTAAATATATCTGTGTCGGCAGCATATTAATGTAACAACAGCCAAAACAGAAAGCACAAATACTACCAACTCTTCTTGCTTCAAGTCAACACTGCGTGGAGAATAGATGAAGAAAGATATCCTTAAACTGTGAAATATCTTTATATTCTGTATACAGGACTGTCTCAGAAAATTAGAATATTGTGATAAAGTTCTTTATTTTCTGTAATGCAATTAAAAAAACAAAAATGTCATACATTCTGGATTCATTACAAATCAACTGAAATATTGCAAGCCTTTTATTATTTTAATATTGCTGATTATGGCATACAGCTTAAGAAAACTCAAATATCCTATCTCTAAATATTAGAATATCATGAAAAAGTATACTAGTAGGGTGTTCAACGAATCACTTGAATCGTCTAATTAACTCGAAACACCTGCAAGGGTTTCCTGAGCCTTGAAAAACACTCAGCTTGGTTCAGTAAACTAAATCACAAGTATGGGGAAGACTGCTGATCTGACTGCTGTCCAGAGGACCGTCATTGACACCCTCCATCAGGAGGGTAAGACACAAAAAGAAATTTCTCAAAGAGCAAGCTGTTCACAGAGTGCAGTTTCAAAGCACATCCACAAAAAGTCTGTTGGAAGGGGGAAATGTGGCAGGAAACGCTGCACAACCAAGAGAGATGACCGCAGCCTTAACAGCATTGTGAAGAAGAGTCGCTTCCAGAATTTGGGGGAGCTTCAAAGACAGTGGACTGAAGCTGGAGTCCAGGTATCAAAAGTCACTGTTCACAGACGTGTCCGGGAAATGGGCTACAATAGCCGTATTCCCATGGTCAAGCCACTTCTGAACTCAAGACAACGGAAGAGGCGTCTGACTAGAAAGCTAATGTAANTAAAGAATATTACCAAGCAACGGAATTGAGCATCTGAGTTCTTACGAGGCCATCGTATCATACAGTATACAGGACTGTCTCAGAAAATTAGAATATTGTGATAAAGTTCTTTATTTTCTGTAATGCAATTAAAAAAACAAAAATGTCATACATTCTGGATTCATTACAAATCAACTGAAATATTGCAAGCCTTTTATTATTTTAATATTGCTGATTATGGCATACAGCTTAAGAAAACTCAAAAATCCTATCTCAAAAATTAGAATAGTTCCTCAGACCAAGTAAAAAAAAAAGATTTATAACAGCAAAACACAATCAAACATTTGAAAATGTCCATTAATGCACTCATACTTGGTTGGGAATCCTTTTGCACGGATTACTGCATCAATGCGGCGTGGCATGGAGGCAATCAGCCTGTGGCATTGCTGAGGTGTTATGGATGCCCAGGATGTTCAATAGCGGCCTTTAGCTCATTAGCATTGTTGGGTCTGGTGTCTTTCAGCTTCTTCTTCACAATACCCCACATATTCTCTATGGGGTTCAGGTCAGGGGAATTTGCAGGCCAATCGAGGACAGTAATGCCATGGTCAGTACACCAGTTACTGGTGGTTTTGGCACTGTGGGCAAGTGCCAGATCATGCTGGAAAATGAATTCCTCATCTCCATAGAGCTTTTCAGCANTTATTTTAATATTGCTGATTATGGCATACAGCTTAAGAAAACTCAAAAATCCTATCTCAAAAAATTAGAATAGTTCCTCAGACCAAGTAAAAAAAAAAGTCTTTTTTTTTTACTTGGTCTGAGGAACTATTCTAATTTTTTGAGATAGGATTTTTGAGTTTTCTTAAGCTGTATGCCATAATCAGCAATATTAAAATAATAAAAGGCTTGCAATATTTCAGTTGATTTGTAATGAATCCAGAATGTATGACATTTTTGTTTTTTTAATTGCATTACAGAAAATAAAGAACTTTATCACAATATTCTAATTTTCTGAGACAGTCCTGTATACTGTATGTGATACCATTGGGTCAACTTAGTGGAATAGCCTCCTTACTGAGATATGGGATTTTCCCACTCTCAATAACTTAAAGAATGGTTGAGCAACAAACAGACGTGTAATCACCGCTAAATGCACTTTAACACAGGGGTATCTCCTCTTGCACTTTATGTAGCACTTTAATCTTATCTTGCACTTTATATACCATAGCTGCTACATTGCACTGCCATGTGGTAAATGCTTGTATGCTGCTCTTTCTGCATGTCATGTATTTATTTTTGCTATGTATATAAATGTCATGTTCTTGTATGTTGTATGTCAGGGGACTGCGGGACTTAAAGCTAAAATCCGGCTCATTTACGCTTGTAAGCATTGTTTTGTTTGAAAGTGTTCATCGATGTGCACTGTCCCAACGATTACGTTCAAATGAAAAACTCAGTGCTATTGACTTCAATGTGTTTTGATAGTATCAACAGCTGACCTGAAGCTTTCAGAACTTCTACAAACTTTATGTAAAACATTAAGCATTAAAGCTGCCACAGCGTTATTCCAAACAAGTTGACAAATGATTGCAATATCCAGCATGTCCCACATCATTTCTGTGTTATCTTGACCGTATGGCCTTTAACAATGTTGCTCTGTTGCAGCTGGAAGAACCAAACACAAATCCCTGCCACAGTAAATGGGATCAATGAAAGGTTGGGGCAGAGAAAGGGTGATGCTCATAATAGCCAGGCAGACAAATGGGATAGGTAGAGACGGGAGGATGGAGCCTGGGATGAAACCCATCCAAAAATAAACAGTGGACAAAAAAATGCAATGAAAACACCCCATCTTCTGTCACCTTCCTCCTCCTCCTCCTAACCTTCTGCTCCCCGGCTACTGATGCGTAAATTGAAATGACTAATCACATATCACCTCTCTCAATGTAAATAGAAAAGAAGTGAGATGGTCGTGTTATTTTCCACACATAAGATATATCATGAAGAAGAGGATTAGTGGAGAAGAGACCGTTTAAGAGCAACAGAGAGCAAAGGATATCAATGATGAATTGAATGTACAGAGGTAGAGTAGTCTCTTCATCACTTCACTATGAGAAGCTACATGTCTTTCCTCTTCACCTCCCTTTGTCTGCAAATACCACCACCCCTGTTTCCGTCTCCCTCTTTCTTAGATGAGTCTAGAGCTTTTTTCCAACAGAAGCCCATGCAGCAACCACACAGACGGAGAGAAAAATCAATACGGTCTCTCTAAAGCATCTTCCAGCTGAGAATGGGAGGCTCAGGAGGTTGAATAAAAGCGAACAAACAGAAAGAGAAGAGTTGAATGACACTGAGTAACATGAAGGAGATTCACTGTACTGTAGGTCACTATAGCAACCTAAAGTATTTCTCCAACAACTCTTATAATTATATTATGTTATGTTACTATTGTAGATAACATTTATTTTAAGTGCATTTGATGTAATAAAAAGTAGTAGCATTGAAACCAGTTGCTTCCTGCATTTTAAAACGTGAAGACAGTGTGTTAATGATAAGCTGATTACAATTATTAGCCCAAAATGTATTTCATGAGGAGAAAAATATGTCTTTAACCACTTTCCAGTCTTCTTGATAGATGATTTTCAAGTAGGACACTGCCTTTCAATTCCTAAGTTGGTAAGAGAAGTGATTCTGCAAGACGTGTCAAATCCCAAGAGAATTCCCATTCTCCGCTCAGTTCTTTCACCGTGTCCATTAAACTGCTCTATAACTAAATCAGTCACCAATTCACAGCTCTTTATGGATGATAGCTTTTTTCTACTCCTTACATTTTGATCATTTGCTCTGAATCATAGTTTCTGTGAAAGTGTAAAAATATAATTCCAGAGTGTTTGTGTGAGAGGCAGGCATGGGTGGGGCTTGTGAAGGGAAACATTAGTGTGCAGAGCCATGGAGCGATTTGCCAGAGTAAGGAAAACACAAACACCGGCACTAGTCCTTGCAATTAGCTGAACACACAGAATCGGAGGCCAAATCGAATACGGCATTAGGCTGACAGACAGGTGTTCATTTATATACACACCGAGAGGAGGGCACACATACACAGTGTATTGAATATATAAACAAACTGCAGTTAAGCAAAGGCATGCACACTCACCTAAACATTCAATAAAGCACACACACTTACAGACCTATACAAGCGCACATCCTGGCATATTGCATAGTCTTTGAAGACACACCATGCACCCTCCTGTCCACAAAGAGGCGTACACACATATTCACACAGCTATTATCTCACATTTGCTGATCGGTAATTTTCAGCCGGTGGCAGAATTCCCCCGTTACACAGTGCAATTACTGGATATTTACACAGCCAAACAATAGGCCAGTGAAACATACACTCATTCAAACATTCATTAGACAGGTCAATAGAAACTGAGGTGACCTAGACTATTACAATGTGTCATAAAACTCATTAAGATTGAGCTGAGTATTGTACATTGTCTGAAGCAGGAATAAGGCCCAATCTATCCAATCGAAACATCATTTGGTTGTAACAACAGATTCAGTGAAGTACAATGTGTCGTTTAAGTGGACCTTATAAAGCGGCTTCCCTCATTGGGAATGACTTGTGTACTCTACTATGTCAAAAGTAGAAAACCGTAGTGTAATTTGACTGGATATCGCTACAAGTACGTCTGTTCTGTTTAAAACAGGAGAGATGTTGCCTGCTTGTTACAGTTCTCATTAATATCCTACATTGATGAAACTTTCTTATCTAAGAGTGCCAAACTGTAGCATAAACTTTAATACAAAAATGTTCCTGCAGAAGAAGAGTGGCTATGGGCTGATATACAGAAGCAATTGTAAGAGTTTGTATTAATAGAACTCATTTAACAATCCTGGCAGTTTTTTTTGTCTTTCTCAAAAAGTTCCAAGCATCAAAAGTGAAGATAAGTGGTGAGAAGTACAATTTTGTACCCCAATTTTTGAGATGAGTAATAACAGCCCTCTTTAGACTCGGGTAGGTTTTTGCACACAGTGATGAAAGAACTGACACCAGTGAGCCATCATCAGCAGAATGCACTGCGAGGATGTCCGATAAGACTAAGAAGAACCACTCAAACATCAGCAATGATGCAGCACAAGAGAAAAAATTGACCAATCAAATCCCCATCGACCACACTCAGCCAACCGTAGTGCAGGCAGAAGATTAGGCTGGTGGATGAAGGAGAGCTGGCTGAAAAATTACAGCCCCATTGTCTGTTGATTTGCAAGCCAAGATGCAATCATATCAAAGAGTCTGCAGTGGCCTCTGAATGACAAACAGGAAAGGTGAGCTATTTTTACTGTGATGATGCTAATGAGGGTGCTAGCCTACGTGTGTGTGTGTGTGTGTGTGTGTGTGTGTGTGTGTGTGTGTGTGTGTGTGTGTGTGTGTGTGTGTGTGTGTGTGTGTGTGTGTGTGTGTGTGTGTGTGTGTGTGTTCAATGCATGCCCCATTATGCCTTAACACTGTCAGTTTGTGCACCAAGCAGCCACAAATGATCTAGAATTATTCTGCCATTAGAATATCACACTGATAAGGTCATGTTGGACATTAGCACAGTCTACAATGTTTGTGTGTGAAGACACGTGTCAGTGTGTGTATGCACATGCACCTAATGCATTCATTCACTGTCAGATTCACATGACAGAGCAAGACATTTAGTACAGAGGTCAAAAACCTGGGCTGAAGCTAAAGAAGGGGGATGAATAGCCAGACAACATATATGTACACACTTTCTTTCCCTCCCTCCGTCTGTATTCATTTACCTTAGCTATCTTTCTCACCCACAAACACACAAACAAACACACATGCAGACAGACGTCCGTGTTGAATCCACAAATGCGTGTGTGTATTATTTTTGTATTATTTTAATATAATATACTTTAATATTGCTTTAATATTGTTTGCTTATCTGTATTATTGTATTGGAGAAGCCTGTGACCTACGATTTTCAACGAAATAATTACTCTGTGTAGCTATGTTAGTTTGACAATAAAGAACCTTGAACCTTGTGAGTAACCA